ATTATCTAATTTTTCTTTAAAAAACTTGCTGAGACTCCATTCCGAGACATTCTGATTTACCTGATCTGGGTGGGGTGTCAGCAATGATATTTTAATAAACTTCCAGGTGAACTCAGCTGTGCAGTTAGGATTGCAAACACTGACCTAGAAAGAGTTCAGTAGATAATAGCCAGCCTGGTTCACCTTGAGTCTTGTGAATCTACATGTAACCAGGCAGTGTCTAAAATTGCCCTATTGATATGGTCTTCTTTGTCTAAGAGTCTGGGACCAGATCTCCAGAATCTCAGTAAATTGAAAAGGGCTTGTCACTCTTAGGAGACTATGAAATTCATTTCTTTTTTTATTATTTTATAAGCGTGTTAGATATATGCATAATAGTTGGTTTCACTTTGGTTTTGTTTCTTGCAGTTTTTGATTATTTTGATTATTTTTTTTCCATGTTAGGCATATTGATTTTGATGTGTCTTGGAGAGGTTCTGCTTTGAACTTGTCAATTTGGGGTCCRATATGACTCCTGTATGCAAATGTCTCTCTTGTTTCTAATATAGGGAAATTTTTGTGTTACAGTCTTACTGAAGATATTCTTAATGTCTTTATCCTGTATCTCACTGTTCTCTTCTATCCCAGTGTCTCTAAGTTTTGTTCTCTTGATGCTGTCACAGAGTTCTTGTGTATTCTGATCTTTGTCTTCTTTATCCCTTTATTACATAGTGAGTATTCAAATTGATATACCTTGTCTTCAAGTCCKGAAGTTCTATTTTCTATGTTATATAATGCATTAGTGATGTTTTCACAGGAAATTTTAATTTGAGTCATTATGTCTTTCATTTCCAGGAATTCTAATAAGTTTCTTTTCAGTATCTCTATTTCTTCATTGAAATGGTCTTTCATTTCCTGGGTCTGCTCTCTTAATCTGTTCCTTAGATTTTTGTTTAGTTCCTTGAACATTTTAATAGTTTTATATAGTCTTTCCCTGAAATTTCATCCACTTTTATATCTGTGAGTTCCTTTGTTAGGGGATTGTGAATTTGGGAGAGATACTTGTTTGCTTGTTTTCTCATGTTTTCAGAGGTCTTAGACTTGTGCATCTGTTGAGGTGCATTTACTTTTCTCTTTTATATGCACATCCTTTCGTGCATATTTATTTATTTATTTATTTATTTATTTATATTATGCAAATCCTCTGTTTTTGATATATGAATAGATATGCAAAAGTGGAACCTGAGTTGACCATCTAGATGTTCCTCCTTGGGTCCTGGTTGGTGTTTTCTTTTCCCCTATTCTATGTGTTGAAGTATTATTAAGTCTCAGGTGGGGCTACATCATGTGTGGGATGAAATTTACTTTTACTGGACTGAGTTGTGAGTATTGCTTGGTAGCAGAAACATAACACTACCCCCTCTGTGGTAATAGTGAGATTAGCATTTAATATCAGCATCAACAATAACAAACATGAACTAGATCAGGCATTAAATAGTGGGTGTCTACTATGTCATTCACCGTATCAGTAATTATAACAACATATAGGAATCATGTAACTATATAATTATATAAGATACTGGAATTCCAGTGTCTAAGAGAAAATTGGATAGGAAGAGAAGAGAAAGTGAAAAAKCGAACAGAGGAAAGGCAGGAGATGATGGCTATAAAAAGGAGTAAAAAGGATAAAAGTAATAGAATGACAAAACAGAGGAAAAAGGAACAGGAAAATTTGGCTGTTAGTGGTAGAGGAGAGTGGAGAGAGGCAATAAGAGGAAGAAAATCCGAGGCACAAACAAACCTAAAACAAAAACAAACCAAAGCCATGTATAATTTTACTCCACCTACATCAAGCCAAGGCTAAATCATAAATGGATGCAGAAAAAAGCAATGAAAATCAAAGTAAAATCATATGAATATATCTGTATGTTTTCAAACCTATCTGCACAATGCTAATGCCACACACATGCACATGCACAATCTCACAGAATGGAAAAAAGTAAATAAAATTTGAAAAAAAAAATAAGAATAAAAAGGGTAAAAAGGGGGGATATAAAAAATAATTTTTTCTGTAAACCAGGGATTGAACCCAGGGCTTTAACTATACCCAGTGATTAAAAACTCTGAATGAGAAATAAAGGGCTTATTTCTGCTGAGGTGGTGAAAATTGTTGACAGTGATGGATTGTCCTTCTTTCTATTTATTTTTARTCTCTGAAACCCTTGGGTCAAAGCCTGGGGTTTGTTAAATCCAAGTCTTCCTGTTCCTCACCTAGCTGCCAACCACCATGTCTAAGAGGCAAATCAGGTCCTGTATCTCTCAGCTTCCTATCTCCCAGTTTAGGGTGGAATCAGCTGAGGAATGCATATGTGTGTACTCCCATAGGGGCACTGGTGCAGAGTTCTGAATTGGAAGTTATAGTAGTTGGAACTACTTGGCTGAACTTTGGAACTCTGTAGGCAAATATCTGAGATTTTGATCCACACTCCTGTAGCTAGCTGAGGAGATGATTATCTCTGGTGGATGTCTAGGTCTCAGGGACCTCCTATAATTTCTACCWTTAGAATGCATGGTGCTATGCATGTGAATTACCCAGGATCAGATCTGAAGTGCAGATGCTCCTGTCTGGCCATTATTGGCATTTTCCCAATAGTTCTTATGAGACACCAGAAACAAGGAGAACTGTCTCTCCTGGGTATCTGGAGCCTGGATGCCCTAAGCACAAATCTCTTTAGGCCTTTTTCAGTCATACTGGCCCAGGTACACCATCAGTGTATTTTATAAGTTCCTGATCTACTGTCTCTACTGCTGGTCACTCAGTGCTTTTAAATGGTTCCAAATGGTGCCCTGTGGGCCTGCAGATTCTGGTTGTTTTCACTCAAAAATTTCCTTCACTAAATCTGGGTCCACTAAGATCAGGCTCCTTCTGTATTCCATGGGTTCCTCCAAGCCAATTTGTTTATCTGCCACACTTTTCTCTCTCTGCTTGTGCTCCACACCATTTAGTAGCCACAGCTGCTACACCACTGCATTCAAGCTGGTGCATCTCTAATGTATTGTTTCTTGCATTATATTTGGAGTTTCTGACTTTCTGTGTCTGTATGGTTTCCTTTACTGTCCAGTTTTGAGTTTCAGTGAGTTCCCTTAGTTACCTACCTCACTGAGGAAATTGTCCTTCTTTCTATTTATTTTTAGTCTCTGAAACCTTTGGGTCAAAGCCTGGGGTTTGTTAAATCCAAGTCTTCCTGTTCCTCACCTAACTGCCAACCATAATTAAAATTTAGAACTAAGGAATAGCTGGGGAAGTCCAACCTTCCCCTAATCTTCCATCTTCTTCTCCATGTATTTTGTGAAACAACTATCCTGATACAAATCTGTGAACATGAATAACCAGTAAGTTTGCTTCATTGTACCCACTCCATTGCGGTTCTTATGGAATTCACATTTTCCTTCCAGGAGTCTGAAAATTTACCTTTCAACCATAATTAAAGCCCTGAATTGCTAATGAGCGCCCCTGGGCTGAAACATTGTATAGTTTGCTTCATTTTGGGTTTTTGGTAAAGACTGAGAGAAAACATAAGAAAACCTGCACATGGAGACCTTCAAAATCTCCTTGTATTATCCCCTTATGGTCTAGCTATGTATACTTAACTATTTTACTATAATAAATGTAAGGCAGGAGCACAATTATGTACTAGTGATTATCAGTCCTTCTAGAGAATCTCTAAAAGTGGGGTGGTATTGGGAGTCCCAGGAAAGCATGGCCTCTAGGAAAGAAGAGACAATATGGATCTAGGGGCTTGAGGAGGAATTGAGGGGTAGTAAAAATCAAGGTGCAGGGGTAAATAGTAGAGCTGTATTTTAATTTTAACAATTGTACCACAAAATTTCATTTTATAGTATTCAAAGTACACAAAAGAGCATGATTTCCTATTATTATTACATAAAACTTTTTTTGAGGCTAGGGTGGTGGCCCAGTGGTAGAGCACTTACCTAGCATGTGTGAGACACTGGGTCAATTCTCAGCATCGCATATAAATAAATAAAATAAAGGCCCATTGACAACTAAAAAATATTGGGAAAAAATTCTTTTTAAAAAAATTATTTGGGGAGGCATAGAACTTGACAGGTAAGAGTTTGTAGGGGAAAAATGTGCAGAATATAAAACTTTATGCTAAACAATTTCTAAAAATTGACAAATGCTATGTAAGCTAGTCCTTAAAACTCCCAGCAACAGAGATGGAGTTTCCACTTTATAAAAAGGAAAAAAAATTACAAATATCACTATGCTTTTATGTCTCCGTGTGGGGGCAGGTACTGGGGATTGGCCCCAGGGCCTCACACATGCTAGACAAGCACAACACTACCACTGCTTTATTTCCTTAGCCTGGGTTTTTATTTTATTTTCAGTCAGTTCTCACTAAATTGCTCAGGCTAATCCTACACTTGTGATCTTACATATTTAACCTTCCAAATTGCTGGAATTAGAGGTATGCACCAGKGTAATCATGTTGAAATGTCTTTTAAAGTTCACAATTTTAGAAGTGCTACAAAAAGTAAGGCAGAAATATTAAGATAATATTTGTGGGAAAAAACAGGCAATTTCAACCTTTTGAAGAAACAAATTTAAAAAGTCAAAAAGATAAAATAAATTAGACTACATGTAATAAATAGAATGAAAACCAGGGTTTTTATTTCAGGTTAATAAAGGTTATTAAAAATAGTAAGAAACAAAATAATGCATAAAAATCAATAAGCTAGGGCAAATAACAGCTTCACTCTGTTGAAGGAGATAAGTAAGTTTGCAGAATTAACATCACATTATCTCACTCATCCTGAGGCTAAACACGAGGTAGAGAACTAGGAATGTTAAATCAATATGAGGCCACCAGATTTCAGGTCATCAACAGATGTCATCAGAAGTTTGAGGTGTAATTTAGTGTTTTGGCATAAGGGCATGGGATTCAGGGATGGTGAATCATGACATCATCTGTGTGGCAGATGACACTCCCACAATCTCCTCAATAGTAGTATCCAAAGCCTGATCCACATCCATAACCACAGCCACAGAGAGAGCGGGAGCCATATCCATAGCCACAGCCATAGCCACAGCCCAGTCTGCGGAAGCCACAGCCATAGCCATAGCCCAGGCCACCATAGCCACATCCCAGGACTCCATAGCCATAGCCCAGGCCTCCATAGCCACAGCATCCATAGCCACGGCCGCCATAGTAGTTTCCGTAGTAGCTGCCACACATGGTCTTGGTTGTTGAGGTTGTCCTTGGGTAGAGAACGAGTGTGGGTAACTTGAGTCTGGACATTTCTCCCTGTAGAAGGCCTTTTATATGCCTTCAATGTGGGTGGGACCCACAAGGCACGTTATGCCATTGGCTAATTTTATGACTGATCTCATTAGTTTGTTGTTTTGTAATCACATGATCAAGCCTCAGAGTTACTAAGGAAACTTGTTTGTTTTATTTTTTATATTTTGAGTAGTTTTGCTCTGAAAGAATTCAATGCTAATAATGAGACAGTCGTACAAAACCCTGCATTACACCACATATTAATTTGGGCTTCAATTAATATGCAGTATTTCTAAATGTACCATTTCGGAAAACCAACTTTGATTTGCTCTTGGTACAAAATAAAATCTATACTCTACTCATTCCACAGCTAAAAGTAATTACTTTTAAACCAAAGCATTTTGCCTATAGTTTTTTTTAATTATTTATCATCTTCATTGTTTCAGTACTCTCTCCACCTGAAAGGAATGCAGCATAGAAAATTTTAATGTTATTCACCTCTGTATAAAAATTTTGTGACTAACTAGCCTAAGTCAACTGCATCTCTACATTTTTGTTTTTATTAACACAACTTGCTTAATCTGCATATGTCTAATTCTTCTTCAGGGCAGTAAAAATAGTTTCATCTATGGATTTCAAAATTTCTTCTTCTATCACCAGAAATAATGAACATGATGATGATGATGATGATGATGATGATAAAATAATAAAAATGTATTCAATTTTATTAAGACTTCTAAACATTGCATTTTTTTCTTTTGTTTTTTTGGTACTGAAAATTTTACACAGGGGTGATTTCTCACTGAGCTATATCCCAAGCCCTTTTTGTTTATTATCAAAACATTTTTTTGATATATAGTCTCATTAGTTTGTTTAGGGCCTTGCTAAATTGCTGAAGCTAGTCTTGATCTTGTCATCCTCTGTCTCAACCTTCTGGGTTACTGGGATTATAGGTATGTGCCACCATACCCGGTTCCATTGCCATTTTTAATAGATAACAATTTTGTAACTTCTTAGAAGTTTAAGAATATGTGCCAGTTATGTGCTTATGAGCTTTAATCTATTTGAAATACTGTTGTTTCCCAAGACTGATTTAATTAAATTCCCCTCTAATCAACAGAAGAATCTGTTGAGAGTTTGGGATGTAATCAGTCACTATTCTAAGTGGTATTTTATTTCCTTCAAATATTTGATTTTACCAATCTATTAGATGAACATAAATTCCTTTGTAAAGACATACAATGAAATATCAGAAGTCTACTTTTAATCAATTATATAGAACTCTCTTGAATAACCATTAAAATATTTTAAGATTTCATTATTTCCCGTCTGATTACCCAGGCTCTTAAGACACACAGTAAAATGAAGTGAAACTTGTTCTTGTCTAAAACAGCCACCCTTTGGGAACATGCAAGGAGATGTGATTATACAAACATTTACAAAATCAACCTCCCAAAGTGTGACACCCCAGGGATGCTTTGTATTCTTCATATGACTTCCAAGCCGAGTCAAAGAGATAGAGTTGGCTCATGAAGCCATGGAGAGGGTTCAGGACAAGGACCCCTATGCACTTTAGCTGACCCTCCTTTGATGTTACTCACAATATTTTCATCCCACTCAGTTCATCTGCCTTGACAGTAATTCTTATTAGTCAAGAAAAAACAGCCTCTTCATATAACAGAGCATTTTTTTTCTATTAATGATTAAATTAAATACCATAATTTTCCATGAATTTTAATGTATATTTTTAACCYTTATTTTATTAATGATCATTAGTTGAAATAATATTGTAGCCATTTTTTAAGTCTTAAAAGTCTTATTTATTATATAAATTTGTGGACCAGCAAAAGGTACGACTAGTTAATTAACAAAATAATCATCAGGCAAGTCATTTTATAACTGGATAAAACATCTGTAGTAGTCTGTAATATAACTCAAGCTTCCCATTATAAATATTTATGAGAACTATTATCTTAGAATTTCTTTTCAGGAATGATTCATCTCTTATGAAGAACTGATATTTGTTTTTATAATCTATGAGTCTTTACACACCATGGAACTACTTTTTTTTTTTAATGGTGAAATTAATTTTGTGAGCAGGTTTAGAGTTTCAGTAGAGTTGAGAATAAAGTAGAGAGAATTCCAATAGAGCCCTGTCTCCCCTCACTGTGGACATTGTCACCAGATCAGTGCATCTATGACAGATGAAACTTTGCTGACACATTCTTATCACSGGAGTCTGTAGTTCACGTTTAATGTTCATTCTTGGTTGTTGTACTTTCTTTAGGTTTTGACGAATGCTTAATGACATGCACCCACCATTATAGTAATGTGAAAAACAATTTCACTGCCTTAAAAATCCTCGTTCTACCTGATAACGTATGTTGGCCTTCTATTTTGTAAAGAGGGTTTGTCTACTCTGATGCTCTGAAATACAATTAATGCTTTGCTACAATGTAATTAATGAACACTAAACAAACTGCAAGCAACCATTTCTCCAACTTATTCCCTTTAGTTTCCCAAAGTACTTTCTTAATAAATCATCCTTTTTAACAGACAATTTTGCAAATGTATGCCTAAGATGGCTGCTTCCACCTTCTTTCTTAACACAGTTTGTCTCAATCATCCAAGCCATTAACCCAAACCCCTGCTCCACTGAAAGTGCCCCCGTCAATTGTTGCCTGATGGAAGTACAGTTCATTTCTCTGTATTCATAAAAATGAAGCTCTGAAACAAAATTTAGGTCAGTTGGATTCCCTCTTCTTTCTTGACAGACTCTTTCTTTTGTTATCCTTTTCATTAGACTCTCTTCTTTTACTTCCAATTTTCTCTTTTCAGGATTTAAAAAAATAAAATCTTTCTCACCACTTGACCTCATGGTCAAAACTGTGTTCATGGCCTTGCTACATCTTCATGCTTTTTTGATTATATATTCAACTGGCTAGTTGATAATCTTATTTTTTTCTTTAATAGCCATCAGAAATTTGACATCACCAAAACAAGAGTCCATGATTCTCAGGATGGCACATGTCTCTTTTTCCCGCAGCACAACAAAATCACACCACAGACTTCCCCTGGAAGTGTATTCTTCATAGATTTCCATTACATGAGGAACAAATGTCATCCAATACTCTGTCACATCTCTCTGACAACATCTCCTACTACTTTCCTTCCAGTTTACCATGATTCAAACATGGTGGGTCTCTAGCACCTCAGAGAAACCAAGATCTTCCCTTTGAAGACTTTTGCCTTTGTACTGYGGATCCCTCTTTCTGAAAATAGTTGCAGGAATTTCTGAATTCTAATCCACATTCGGGTATCACAGAACCATGTCTATAATCTCTGACCTCCATATTTAATATTGACTCCTCCATATTAATGATTAAAAATTATTCAACTAATTGGTTTATATGATTTTATGAATTCTCATCACTTTCAGAAATTACTTCATTAAATTCTGAATTTCCTTGTCTTACATTGCCCATTATCCCCCAGAATCATGAGAATAGGCACCTTAATGACTTTTTAATTTCTACATCCCATATGCTTAAAATGAAGTGTTAATAATACAGTTATAAATAATAAGTAAAAAAACTGAAAAAAATAAAATGTGGAGTAGTTTGTTTAAATTGAGATTGATAACAGAATAAATATCTCCTTTTTATGTGTAAGGTTAATGAAGACAGAGTTTCTAGGATTTCTTAAAATCTAAGCAAAAGTTTGGAATTCCATGAGTGCTTTATTTATAAGGTGGTCCTTGTCAATTAAAGATTAAGAATTATCCTTGTAACTTTATATATCTTTCTGATTATATATTCCTCTGTTTCCTTTTGTTGTATTTCTTTAAATTCAAAATGTTCTGGGAATTTGGAAGCTAAACATGTTGAATTAATTACATTATTATATAAAATGCATGAATTCCTATTTTGTACTACGTGCAAAAATATGAATGAAGTTTAAGATATGCATTAACCTGCGTTCAAACAAATTCATTACCTTTGGTGAGTCAAATATCATAGTCTGTAAGATTAGGCAGCTAGAAATAAAGGTCTTGGTGTATTCAGGAAAATCTAAGATTTCATAAGAGATAGATTCACCAAAAACATTGTCATTAAGACATTAATGTCCTCAGAATTTTGATAGGCATCATGGAATTTAAATACTCTGAAAACTTTTGTAGTAATTTGAAATAAACATAAAAATACCATGAATGTGGAACATAACATATTCTTGAACAAAGGGCTATATAGTCTATATTCTAAGCAAGTAAAGCTGATTCTCAAACTGTTTCTGTGCTTATCTAGGATTTCAACCTCAAATGCAAAGCTTTTGCAAATACAAAAGGAACACATGAAATAAAAGGCTCTAACACAGAAGTAGGGTTTTAACATCTGATTCTATGTGAAATRCAATTCAACAAGAAATTCTTTTTCACATAAAAATAAAACACCATATTAAACATAAAATAGACCCATCTGTATTCACTCAATTTATCCTGTCTTTATGACTCTTCCTCCACCTCCTATTGATGGTCTCCTACATCTCCCCATGCCATTTTTTGATTTCTCATCCAGATAAAATAAGTATTAAATCAACCCTACTACTACTAMTAATAATAATAAATAGAATGAGTTTTTGCACTTTTTATAAGTTCTCATGAGACTGAGTTCACAAGTAAGCAAACACTGTATATTTAGAAAACAAGTTTTGTATTTAAGGCACCTGACTACATTATTAGCATCCTGACTCCACAACAGAGTCCCTGGTATATTGGTTATAAGGAATGAATTCTTGAAATTTTTCTTATGGTTAACTAGTTTGGAAATGAGTCCAGCCTATCTGGATTTTTCACATACTGTTCAGGTTATGAAATTCAAAACCAAGGGATTGGTTCCAGTCCTCAACTAGACCTTTCATTTCTGGTACCATAGGCTGTTATGGCATTGACTGTGGCAGCCTGAGGCTCCAGTGACCTGGGTTGTGGCTATAGTTGTATTTCCAGCTGTAGGAACTACAGA